CCATTTACTAAATGGGTGCTAACACCGTCGTTGCTAGTCATAGCTAGCTAACGTTCCGATCGTATCCTCAAGAAATCATAATCGGATACAGTTATTTCTCCACCAAGTGTGTTCCTTGAACTGATTCAGTTGGGGTAGTAGTGTCGAAAACCTAGAAGAGGTTGATACAAGAAATGCCAAAAGCAAGCTAATAGCGTAAGAGTGTCAATCAGATTAAAAAAAATTGTTTGTGTACAAAGTGTTACTATTCGCAGATCCTTGATTTGTACATAGAGGTATATTTGTTATCTGTTAGGAGTTGGTGAGTAGAACATTTTATCTCTAAAATAAGTGTCAAAGGTTTTATTTCGTACTTGCAGGTGGACCTGAAATGGATTGAAGACACCATACCAATCGAAACGTGGTGATCTCAAAAAGTGTAAGGACAAGTTTCGAAATAGAACTTTTGAAACATCCACATTATCTACAAGTTCCATACAATATTTGAACTATTTATATGATTTTTTTTCAATCAGGACTTTTACTGTCTTCTTCTTATAAGTAAGTACCCACAAGTTGCTACGGAGAGTACGCAAAGTCAACCACAAGTCGAAATCGGGTTGAAGTAGGTTGCAGTCAAGTTGCTTTTGGCAAGAACATTACCTCAAGCTCACCAAAGATTTCAGAGTTTTACAGGACATGTGATATATCCCTAACCTTGGCCAGACTCCAAATGAAGGACGATCTGTTATCTGTAGCACTTAAGGGCTGTTGGTACATTTTCCTGTCGCATGATCAATCAGATTGTAGCATGAAACAGCTCCAAGGGCATTAACTCCACGAGTTCTATGTTGACTGGTGCGGTTTGACACTTTTATATAATATTCGTTGTTCTATTAGAAATTGCGTATAAGATGGACATTTTTAAGCAAACAATAGGTACAGACTTCAAACATTTTGTGACTTGTCCGGTTTTGGGGGTAACACTCAATCCAATCTATAATTTTTGTTTGAGTTAGAGACGATTTTGCTTTATAGTTTTCCATGTTCAAAAATTTTTTCAACTTAATACTGTTTCTACTCTCTCGGTTTCATCTTCTGGGATCAATTTCACATTAAAATCGCAACTTATCATAGATCCAAAAACCACCTATACTTGAAGCCAGTGGTGTATATAATGGGGAAAATATTGAAGCATTTTTAATGCAGCAAATGTGAAACATTACGTATTTTCTGCATAAAGGCAGCAGCGGTATCCGCAGTAGTAGACTCTTCGGTCTCCTGATTAGTCGCCGTGCGCTGTGCGGGTTCGAATCCCGCCCCAAGAGAATTTTTTCTCTTGGCTATGGATGTTGTGATTGTCCATAGGTGGTAGACGGTCTCTGACTGTAAAGGTACCACCCGGCGGATCTCGTAGGCGGGGTCAGAATCAGTGGATATTGCATGCACACGTGTTCCCATTATGTGGCGTTCCCCCTTTCGCCTGTATCCCCCTACAGCCACGGTACGCCAGGGGTGTTTAGGCATTAGGCCTTCGTGGTGGTTGGAGTATAAAAAAATAATAAAAATAACACCACTTTTATCCTATTTTCACGATCTATTTTCCTAAATTCATCATTTATGGAAGTACCCATAAAAGTTGTATTGTTTTCACTTAGCAAGTTAGAAATATATAAGTACGTAAATTTTCTCAAAAAAACAGACTGGTTGCCAGTTTATAGGGGCAAAATGACATCCCATCCAAAATTCTCTGTGCACCGCCACTTGCCTCTGCAACCCTTGTCTAATTGAAGATTTATTTTTTTTACATAAGTGCCCTTTAAGATTACGAAACATTATAATCACGGATATCACCGCCAGGATTATTTCGGTCTGCTAGTCGAAATCTGAATCAAAAATTTCGGTGATTTGATCCCTAGGAGAGGATCGGAATCGATTCCTTAAATTCCGTCTGCGGACCGTTGATCAAGAATCCGTTGGACATGGCGACGATGGTGGATTTGGACAACGAGGAGCCCGCTCATATGGCGTGACCGCGACGCTTGAAAACGGTTTTGCTACCTAAAATCCACTATAGTTCTCTTTTTTCACCTGTTTCTAAACTTTGCTTAATGATACCTGTGCTTTCTCAGTTCCATCTTCGGCGAAAAATAACGTTGCTATATTTAAAAGCCATTATCCGTCTTGCCGTGACGAATCCGAGCGGTATCGTTCAAATACAACACGGTTTTGATCGCTGATATCTTAACGGTTAAACCTGCTTTCAGGGATCTAAAATGAAATAATTAACATCGGAATCGTAATCGTAATAATCGAAATCTAAACAGAATCGATCACATGAAGATGATTGAAAGCGATTCCTTACATTCCCTCTGCGGTATCGTTTATTTGGAACGACTCGTTCAAAACCGACCCATGTGAAGTGAAGTGAAGTTAAGTTATAACACCCAGTAACCCAAAAATTGAGATGTGCACGTTCTTGGAAAAGGAAGTCATAGTGACCAAAAGTCATCAGCAAACAGTATTTCAGTCTAAATATGTGGTTTCAGTTAGCGGCCAGACGAACATAAAGGATTACACTGATAAATACAGAATTTGTGACATGACAATTTTTGGGTGTACCTTATGTATTTTGAAACTCTTAAATCAAATCTAAAAACAGAATTTTCTTATCACCCAACAGATATTCGGTAACATCTACTTTTATGAATTACAATAAGTAACATCTCATATTGCTGCATTTCTCGGCGTTTATGTGATGACGCACATATATAATGTTAAGACCTGTCTATTCCTGCGAGCTCTATGTTTAGAGAGCATATTGCGTTTATTAGTAGACTACTAGCATCCGAGTCAGTTACGTTTTCTATGTTGAGACTACTGAGATGTTCTGAGTACTGTTAATTTTTGTTAAAACGGTGTTGTTTTTAGTTTATTGTGATCGAGATCAGCTTTACGGACAATGCCTAGAAATTGTGTAAATAGTGCGAATAGTTTTTGTTATGTGTGCGAAGAGCTAACTTTTAAATCCTAAAAACGTACTTTTACTCCTCTTGTGTTAAAAGCATACTCACTTTATTTTGGAATTACAGTTGGCGACCAAGATACACTATGGGCTCCTCATATATGTTGTAAGATTTGTGTAACGTTGTTAACAGGTTGGTTAAGAGGCGACAATCGTAAAATGCCCTTTGCGGTACCAATGGTTTGGAGAGAACTGAGAGACCATATCACTGATTGCTATTTTTGCCTCAGAAATATTAAAGGTAATGGACCAAAATCGAAACAGACTGTTAAGTATTTTAATTAACCATCAGCTTTGCGGCCCGTTAAGCATAGTGATGAACCTTCTTTCCCAGTTCCACCAGAATCTTGATCTTTGAATGAAAAAATCGAATCCATCGATTCTGAAAGTGATAATAAAGAAAGCGTAAAAATTTCCGATCCTTCGTTTGACCTGCCAGCGCCGCATTTGATCACACAGGGCGAACTTAATGACTTTAGTTCGATAATTAAATCTGTCAAAATCCCAGTCAGAACGTTTAGCGTCAAGATTAAAAGGATGGAATCTTCTTCACGGTGTTGTTAACATTACTTTTTACCGAAAACGGAAACAAAACCTCACACACTGTTTCCATCAAGAAAGGGAGCTGATATATTGCTCCGATGTCAACATTTTGACGCGTTAGGACAGAAACATAATCCAAATGATTCCCGCCTGTTCATTGATTCTTCTAAGCTTAGTTTAAAAGCGGTATTGCTACCTACAAAACGGTAATAAATATCCATCTGTACCTATAGCGCCAGCAGTGCATATGAAGGAATCATATGAAAATCTGCGAGTTCTGTTAGAGCATATATCCGTTATAATGAATATGGATGGGCCATATGTGCAGATTTAAAGGTAGCCCTTCTTCTTGGAATGGAACTGGGATATACCAAATATTGTTGTTTTCTTTGTGAATGGGACAGTCATACGCGAGATCGTCGTTTTGAACAGAAGGTATTAACTCTGGGCCTCAAAAACATTGCTCATGAACCACTAATTGATCCACAAAACGTTGTTGCTTCCACCTTTGCATATTAAGTTTGGACTGATGAAAATTTTTGTTAAAGCTATGGATCGAAATGGAAGAGGGTTTATGTATTTAAGACAAACATTTCCGAGACTTAAGGCAAAAATTAAAGGGGGCATATTTGTGGGTTCACAAATACTGAAAATCATGAAGGATGATGTATATGACAGTCCTCTAAATGAAACTGAGTTACGAGCTTGGAATGCTTTTAAATCCGTTACTGCAAATTTTGTAGGCAATGAGAAGGCGGACAATTATAAAGATATTGTGAGTGAACTAGTTAATGCTTATAAAGGAATGAAATGTAACATGTCTCTAAGAATTCACTTTTTGGTTTATCATCTCGATTTTTTTTTGGAAAATGTAGGTGCGGTAAGTGATGAACGTGGCGAACGGTTCCACCAAGTCATTTCTACTATGGAAAAACGGGATCAAGGCAAATGGAGTGTCAATTTGCTTGCTGATTACTGCTGGACATTGTTAAGAGTTACTTCAGGAGCAACATATCGCCGTAAGACATCGACAACAGATTAATGTTTATTCGAGTGTTTATTAGTACTCTTACACACATATCCTCATATTTTACGAGTATATGCAGCAAATAAAATGCCTTATTGCAAGACAACCGTGGGTGATAGAAAAAATCGAATGCTATTTCCGGCTTTTTGGGTACGTTTTACATAATAACAACCTTGTTTCGTCCATGTCACAAAAAAATAGTTTAATTTTGTTCACCAGTGTTATAGGCATGTCATTCGATAGATAATCCAAATATCTACCATCCCCTTTGCCTCCTAAAACGTTTTCAGTTAAAATTTACGCGGCGTTAGAACTTGAACGACGAATTGAAAACAGTTTTAGCGAGAAAAGTGTATCAACGATCCGCTGGATATGGCAACGATGCTGGGATTCGACGACGAGGCGCCCGCTCATATTATGGCGCGGCGCTTGAAAACTGCCGGACGCCGGCCGTTGCGGGCATTTCTGCATTCGATGGCCAACAGGACCGGCATCGAGGTTTCATAGTGCAGTGATATATTATAGTGACATGGTGGTGAACGGCAATGGCAATACGCCAAGGAATAGTATTGTGACGCCGAACGGGGCAACGCCTGTCAGAACTGATAACGGCAATGGCAGGTAAGCTACTTTTTCAATTGACTATCCACGTTTTGAGATTTCTTGCTATTCTTTGTCATAATTTTATTAGTTTTGTTCAGTTGAATCCAAAACGAGAACCACATCCTAAGAATGTATGAATAAAAATGGAATCAGTAGTATCAGCTCAGCACGCATTGATATAAATCTTGACGCTAGGTACACGAAAATTCTAAGAGTCGTTGATGAAAATTGACAAACGTCTCTGAAAAAATCATATCCACACTTATTACCATAACCAAAGTTTGACGAGATTTTCCGTTTTTCACTCATAACTCCACTACTACTGAAACGGTTTTCAAAACTCAAAAAGCTCTTTCATCCTCGACATAGTGACAATACTTATTAATAAAGGACAATGCTAAAAATATCCGTTTTTCTGCCCCATCGGAGTCTGAACGTGACCCAGTGAAAACTATTGTTTACGATTAGAAGAAGCCAAAAATAGGGGAAAACTGGGTCACTTGACCCAGCATTCACATAAGAGCACATAGCATCATGAGGAATGAACGTGTTTTGATTATTATGATTGGATACTAAAGAGCAGTAAGCTATACTTTAATCAAATACTTATGTGGATATCTTGCATAGTTTCCTCGTAGTTGACAATTTTATTGGACATGACATTTGGCTAATGTCTCCCGAGTGGACTGGGATATACGAGCCCCTTCCCACTTCAGTTGGCCCAACTATTGAAATCTTAGTTTTTTTCTTAACAAACACAAATAATAAAAATGTAGCAGGGTGTTATAGGTTTAAAATATTAACAATGAATATTTTGATAATATATAGTAGAAAACACCAACTTTATCACTCCCTAATCAAATTTGCAGCATAAAAATAACACATGTTGCAATTACAGCATATCAACCTATTTTAATTTCAATGCAAAATAAGTCTAACGCCTAGATGGCTGTGAAAAATAAAAGACATGACAATTATTTTTATTAATTACAGCTGTCAGAATACGTTTAAAATAGTTTTGGGTAGTTAAGGTTTTCAAAATGGGTAGAGCAAAGGTTATTAGTGAGAAAATTCGGTTACTGATAATTAAATTTTTTAATTCTGGGACTTATCGCGGAACTGCGTGAGAAATAACGTAACTGGTTCAGTTAATATTAAGCCACGATATGTGAAAAAAAGTAATATCACAAATGCCGACCGAAGAGCATTAAGAAGAATAATTGTGAAAAACAGGCGTGCCAATTATTTACAATTAAGTGCTCTGTGGAGTGACGCTGATGGAAGGAGAATTTCGAGGTCCACAACTCATAGAGAGGCCCACAAACTGGGATTTAGCACTTGCAAGGTAAGTTTTCTTATAAAAAAAAAGTGAAGTAAAAGCCCTAAAGTTGCACAACTTGTTTATAGGCCAAAGAAATGCCACTATTAACTCCACTGCAAAAGAAAAATCGGCTTAGATGGGCTAAAGAACATAGACAATGGACACCTCAACAATGGAGTGATGAGGCCTGATTCGAAGTTTGTGTTGGTGACAGTCGCAGTAGACTTATTCGCAAAAAAATTAAGCATTCCATGTTGACTGTCTGAAGAGAAAAGTGAAATTTCCAGCGTCCATTATGGCAATTTTAGAAGAATCGCTTTTACCAGTGATGGAAGAATGTTTGACTTCCAGCCAAGATTTTGCGATTCAGCAAGATGGTGCAGCGTGAAATACCTCAAAAAAGGCTATAAAATGGATGGAAGAAAATAATGTACCACTTTTGAAATGGGTTTCTAGCAGTTCAGATCTGTCACCTGTTGAAACATTGTGGCACGAGATGAAAAAGGTTCTACGAGAACATCCTGCTCGTACAATCACCGAACTGAGTCAAAAGCTTCAAGAAATATGGGATTGTTTTACACCAATTTTTTGCCAAAACTTGGTTAACACTATGCCCCAAAGAATTTCAGCCGTAATAGTGATTTCAAATATGATTTTTTACGACTAGAGTGTGTCTAAAATGTTTTTGAGAAAATAAATTGTTTTAGAAGTAAATAGTTTCGTCATGTTTAATTTATAAAGCATATTTTGGTAGAAATCTTGAAGTGGGCCAACTGAAGTGGGAAGGGGCTCGTACTACCCCAGCTGTAGGGAGATTTTATCCTGAATTGTGTTACAATACATACAATACAAGTATCTTAGATGGATAAAATGAACAAAAAAATGCAATAAAGAAAGTTTACGAGTTGGCAAACTTTATAGACATTTTTCTAATAGTACTTTTGTCAACTTTGTCCAGCGCATTCTTTATTGCAACTACATCAATGTTGCTTTTATTTCTGAGGATCTGCTTGTGTTTGTATGTGAAAGGCATTTTTTTTTGATTGATCTGAAAAAATAAAATGAATAATACTTCGATATACTTCCTTTGAAAAAATATGTTATTATATTTTGATCTTCAGACTAAAACCATATTGTCACGTGAGCGTGAGCAACACTAATAGGAACGGGTTTGTAGTGTGTCAGGGTTAGATCAGGTTGACTGATATCTTGAATGGCTAATATGTCCTCACTGATAAAATGTCCCGGTTTTCCCCTACTTATTGGAAACCTGAAAAGAGCAACGAAATCTAGCGCGCCATCCCTTAAGTACACTAATCACCCTTCATCGCATAATAAATAAGTTCTGCATAGGAATTCGATAGCTCGAAGATTAATGATAAATAATACCAGGATAACTAGAATAACCTGAACTATCACAAATAGGAGATAGAAGTTACGTAGAAAATCGGTTTTCATGTTATTCAAAGATGATTATTTTGATCTAAAAAAGTGAATGATTAGTAAATACAATTTGTCAGTACATACTTCTAAAAATCGTATAACTTACTTTTCTACTTGTTTCTAATAATGCAAAGATTTCTTAAAAAGGATATTTCTAATGTGTCGCCATACTTTCGAGTAGGTCATCCTATTTTTCTGTTAGCCTAACAGTAGCTATGTTACTCCTGCTCCACATCAAAAGAAATTAAACTATCTACCAGATCACTACAAGTATCAATCATATTGGAATATTAATTGTGTAATATGACTTGAAAGTTCTGTAGGAAGCACCATATCTTAACCATTTGAATAACCTGTATTAGCATGGTAGAGGGTCGAATAAGATTTTCTACCTACTGTCACTGCAATTTAATATATTCCATGTCTGTGTAATTACCTGCAGATGTAAAGCAGGTCTGCATAGAAGGTGCGGTAGAGACACCATTCAAAACTTCTTTTATAAGATAACAGCTTCAGAAACGCACCAAGACCCAACGGTAGTCTAGTGAATGGAATCGCATGGATAATTGACTATATTGCCTATAACTTCCTTGTATAACATCTCTTGAAGAAAAGCGTCCATTCAAATCTAATAAAAGTTATTATTGACTCCTATACAAAAGAATATTTACACTATACAAGGAAAATATTTAATAGCAGTAATAATACTTTCTCTGAGAGTCACAGAAATGGGACAAAAATACAATCATTTATAGCTATCATGTTGGCCGAAAAGGGAGACACATAATAAACGTAGGGTTTGAACCCTACCCTAACATTTTTTATAGAAATAATTCTGTTTATGAATAGCATTTAATGCTTGATTAAATTTTAATTGCAATGTAATGAACAATAAATATAAGTTTGTAATAAATAATTTATCGATCAGAATAACAAAACAGTAGAATACAGTAGATGAGAATGAACCATAGTAAATCAAAAAGCTACTGTTTCTCTTAATGATTATATCTGTAGCTTTATTACTTCGAATCAAATTTTGCTTTTTATGGAAGCTTCACGATCGAATCAGCTCTCTGTATATCCTATTTATACATATATCGCTACATTAATAATTTGTTTGAACATAGTGATAGAAGCATCAGAAATTACATAAATGCAATATTATATATTATTACTTATACTGTAAATATATTTTATATTTCACTAGGACAAACTGGGACAAACTTATAGTTGTAGAACAAATGACTCAAGAGACTACAAAAAAAACACCAGCAGAAGTGGTGGATAAAGCTCGAAACGCATTCATGAACGGAAAGTCTAAAAACTTGAAGTTCAGGGAAATGCAGCTGAAGGGGCTACTAAACTTTTTGGTAGACTGCAACGCGAAAATTGAGGACGCTCTATATAAAGTAAGTCTGTGACATAAAGCCGCGTACAGACCGAGATTCTAACGCAAGCCAACGCACATGTTGTTACAGATTTGGTTGTGTTCGAATCGTTGTGTACGGCACGAGCCAACATGAGCCAAGGGTTTGCAAGGTCGGCGTTGGCGTTCGATTGTGTTCGCTCCTTCATCGGTACATCAAAGGGAGGTTTGATTTGGTCAGAACAGGATTTGTTGCGCTTCTAGTATTTAGTCGTGTGTCTGCATTCGATGAGAAGAGACTGGTCGCTCGACATTAGCACCGAACTTGATCCAACGCGGTCCAACTCGAAACTAAATTTAGGTGTAGACGAGCGCATTACAGTACCTTCCAACAACAAATGCCAAGGTCGCATGTGCTTGCATTCATTTGCTCGGCGTTGGATTTTTGGTCTGTACGCGGCTTAAGTGAAATGATTTTTTTAACGAATGGGCGAAGCTCATTTATTATTTATTAAAACTCGTAAATACTTTTGAGTTATATGTGAAAATGCCCATAGATTTCGTAAGTTGTAGCAAAACAGAATTATTAAATATGACACAGCTCAAAAATTGCCTTGCAAACACTGGAAACGAGAAGTGAATTACTATCGAAATTCCAAAAACGGCTTTTCACAATCTCTCAAATAACCCAAAATTAAAAAGATCTTGATTACATATGAGAGCTGTTGAATATATTTCATTACACACTTTACAACATTTATTCGTTAGAAATGTTTACCCTCGTATTTAGCGGAAAAGATTCTGTTGATGTCATAAAATGTTAAAGTCTCATAATTACATTCAAAATAAGTATATTTTACCGAGTCACTTAAACAAACCAGCAATTCTTGACCCAGTATAATGTTGGAATCCCAAGTTTGTGGGATTTTTCGTACAAAATGCGTTTACAATCATTAATGATTCAGTTTACCTTCAATAATCGAGTTCGAAGTGACTAAATGTCAGGGTTCTATAAGCATACATTACCTACATTTTCCTTTATGTCTGGTAATTCGTAACATTGTTCTTATCAGTAACATATTTTTATTTCGTCACCTCAATACAATAACTTATCATCAGGAATGCAGCTTTAAGGCGAATTTTTTAATCTACGTGATTAGAAGGAAAGATATTTCAATCAGAACTATCTCATCGACTTCAAATGATGATTTTCCACTCTCAAACTCTACCTCACCCCCTACAACTCCCAACCCCTAATTTTCATCCTCTACAAGAAAGTTTCTGAAAATGACCAGGAGCTTCAGAAACATCATACATGTCATGTAACATCCAAAAAACGTATCTCATTTTCAAAAATTATCAAAGTATGTTCAACAATTTTTAAAAATTACTGGTTGTTAAGATATTTGAGGTTAATGGTCTTATTTGATAAACTCTGTTTAATAATAATAACCAGTTCACCATTGTTTTGGGTTCTAGCGTTCAATAAACTGAATTACCCAGCATTACGTTTATCTCTAGATAAGGTATCTTTCCATTTACCCAAATTGTTTTGGAATGGTGTCTATCCTTTTCCAGAACAGGGTTCATATTTGCCCTGATCTATAACTATACTACTATATCTATATAGCTGTGCATACTTTCGGAAACCTGTACACTGATTACGTAACAGAGTGTTGAGGAAAGCGATATTCGAATCTCTTTCAGCCTGTTCGCTACGTGTCGCAACCAAATAATTCCACACTAAAATATTCCAAAGAAATTTTCCCACACGAATGTGTTATGCACATGCATAATGCACAAACTCTGGTTAATTGAGTTTCTGATTGGCATGCGAATTGTAATCGATCACACAAGCAGTGGCGGCTACAAAAATATTCAGAATAAAAGGAATCGACCTATCGGAGACTATAAAACAACTTCAATGTTAAGCATGCTTCTGGTGTTTGTTTTTAAATAAGCACTTGACATTTTAACTACATGACAGATAAATTAGAAATTAAAAGAGATGTTAGACAGCGGTATGTTTTATCACCATCTCTATTCAATATATATTCTGAAGACATTTTCAAAGGAGCAGATCAAGACGAAACGGCTGGAATGAAAATAAATGAGCACCCTGTATGCAATCTTAGATATGCTGACGGGAACGTACTTTTTGAAGTACTGAAGATCTCCAGAAAATTTTAAAAACGTCTCGCAAGTAGGTGAACAAGTAGAGTTGCCAGTTAACATAAAGAAAACGAAGTTCACGATAATGCGAACAGTATACAAATTGGAATAATGAGCGACTATAACTACCTGGGATCAAACGTCAACAAATCAGGATTAGAATAGATAAAGCCCGGAGTGCATCCAAGACTATCAAGGTCTCATGTTAAATTTGAGTATTAAGTATGTTTTCTCTGTAAGTCTATGTGGGATAGATGCGTAAATTCTATGTTATGTATGAATAAATTAGAGCCTTTTAAAATATAGACACCGTAAGATCCTAAAAATCTCGTGTGTCGAGGACACATAACCAGAGGAGACAAATATATAGGGGATTTAACTAAAAACACTGATTAAAAGAAAAAACGCCGAGACACGTCAAAAGATTTGTCAAGGGGGACAACTTTTGAACTGAGAACTACTTCACCCTCTGCCACCGTCCCGCCCAGGGTCATCCCCTTAAAAATTTTAAATGACAAGGGGTATCGAGTAACTGCTTGTTTGAAAGGTATTTCGAAGTCCTTTATTTTGACGTTTAATTTTTTAAAATCGGTCGAATGGTTTTCAAGAAAATTAGAAAAGTCTATCTTAATTTGTTATTCCAATAAGTGTTCTTGCACGATATTGGCCAAATAATGATATAGGCGATGTTCAAATTCCTGACGGACATTTTCAAAGACATGTTGTAGGATATCATGGCAGCTTTCGATGGGTTGACGAAGTTCATCCAAACTTTCAGGTTGGGGAGTAAACACCACAGATTTCAAATGGCCCCATAGAAAAAAATTCTAATGGCGCAAATCAGGAGATCTAGTGTGGCGTTCCCCCTTTTCCCCGTATCCCCCTTTAGCCCCAAGGTACCCCATGGGTGTTTAGGCCTTAGGCCTTCGTGGCAGTTGGATTATAAGAAAAAGGGTTTCCATCCTCTTCGATTTGGTTTTCAATGGTTTCAGTGATAAGCGGATTGATGGTATTTCCCAACATATACAAATAAATGTCTCCATTTAAATTTCCATTAATAAACAATGGCCCAATCACTTTGTTTCCTAAAATATATGCCCATTCATTAATTTTTTGGGGGTACTGGTTATGCCCTTCTACAAAAGCATGGTAACTTTCATTGCTGCAATACTTGCAGTTATGGTTATTAACAAATCCATATAGATAAAATGTACATTCATCAGTGAAGCAGATATTCTTTACATGAATGATATTATCATTAATCGCTGCAGTCATTTGTTCACAAGACTCAACTCGCCTATCGAAATCATCTTCGGTTAACTGACAGCAGATTAAATGCTTTCTTTCCCTTAGCAACAAATAACTAAACAGGTATAACAATAAATACAGTTCGCCCAGGATATCAGTGTTGATGAAAAGAATACGGAAAAAATTCGGGTTATTATTTGGTTGTTTCCACGTCTAATTTTCCGAATTGCTGTTTATGTTGGTAGTTTCCGTTATAAATTATAAATGAATTGTAGGTTTGGCAAACCCTAACGGGCAACATTTTGAACACTTAGTGAAACAAAAAGTGGTATTTTCGTGTGTTATTGTTTTCTATCTGAACAAATTAATATAAATAAAAATTTTCTCAAAAACGAATCGACTGATTTTACGAGTAAAAAGTCAAACGTCAAAATAAAGGACTTTGAAGGACCTTCCAAACAAGATACTGCTCGATAGCCTTGTCATTTAAAATTTTTAAGGGAATGCCCTGGGGGCAGAGGGTGAAAGGGGGTGAAGTAGTTTTTGGTTAAAAAATGTCAATAAATCCGTGATGGGAAGTTTTCAAATGAACACCCTTTATATGTTGTTACAAGTTACAACTAATCATGCAGGGTAAAACTCGAGGTAAACAAAGTAGCAAAATAAGAATGTCCTCAGAAAATGGTTAAGTTGAAGTACCATTGAACTACTTCGTTCAGTATCCTCAGAGATCAAGACGGCTTTGATGATAGCCTACCTTCCTAGATGCAACGTGAATAAGAACGATCTTGAAAAAACGTCATGCTTGATATGTTATCAGAATGTAGAAGTATGGAAGTCTTATAAATCATATTGCCCAAATGCCACCGTCAGCTGTTTCTAGATTTTTCCTCTAAAATTTTCAGCAACCTTATGGCATAGTTGCGGCCCAATTTCGATAAGAACTTGAGAAATGCTTCAGGTCATTAATTGTCTGTGGATTGTTTGAACAAATTTTATCCTTCAAGAATCGCCACACAAAAAGTGTAAGAAATCACGTTACTATTGAGAAAATTTGTATGTGACAATTTAAAGCAGGATTCAAAGATTATGATACGTGGGGTCATATCCTATCGAAAAAAATATACTGTCGAGATGCATATTATCTAAGTGGGGCAATGAAATATCCATATTTGTGGTAACTCTCGTCGAGGACATTTACCGGTCCGCCATCGCAATTTCGTTATTTTCATGAAAAAAATTGCGTCAAGTAGGTTGACTCTTGATTATTATGAGGAAAAACTTAACTATGAACATATTTATATAACACAAAAAATGATTGAATGGATCAAGAGAGCCAAACAGGCCCCTACAATTAGTCCTTATCCCCACTCATTTGATAACGCTGCGATCTAGAAGCTTCTTCCCTGCCGTTACTGACAGTATCGACCATATGGCGACCATACCATTCTGACCAGCTCGAGTAGTGTGACGGCGTGAGAAATCATGCGATAGTCGCAAACACCGGGATAAATTCGTACAAGTGCGACCTAGACGTGATGCGTTCGTTTGATATTTCTGCGTTTCAAAAGCAAATCTACGGGGCAACCTCTGATGTGTGATATATATACCAATAGATGCGTA